CACCTCAAATCAGACCTTCCAGAATTACTTTAATCCTTTTTAGACCAAAGTTTACAGTCGGTTTGTTTGGCAGATTTAAAAATTGTATCCCTAAGCTGCTGAGAAAGCAGGATGGATCCAGGCAGGATGCTTCAGGGCTGCAACTCAGCAAACCCTAAGGCACACAAGGACAGAATCATTAAGAATGTGCTTTTCTTTGGCAGCCTCTAAGAAGATATTTTCTGCACCTTGCCTCACACTACCACCAGCAAGCAGGATAAAATTATTTCTTCTGAAATAAATTTGGTGCTCAATTTATTCACTTACATCAGAGTTCAATACTGTCAGTCAGTGTTACAGAATTATTCCTTTGTACCAGATGTGATCCTCAGTTTCAAAATCCCAAGGACACACTAGTGAAAGCACAAAATAAAACAAAGGTAATAGAGGCCAAGGAGCAGATGCACATGAGCAATCCAGTTCTGTCCTTCACAATCCCTGTGGTTCCTCTGCAAGTTCCTCCCAGATTGTACAATAAAGGCAGATTGATAAATTTTTAATTAAGGCTTACATTTTTATTTCTTTTGCAAGTGCAAAGTACTTATGCCCACCGTTGCACATACCTTATCTGAGGTCAGTCTCTTGCCAATAACTAATAACATTCTTGGCCAATATCACTAAAATTTTAGGATTACTTACATTACATCTTCTTGCTACTGTACAGAACAAGTTTCTATTGTTTCCTCTTCACTGAACTTAAATAGTGGAATTTGGAGTGGCCAAAGTTAACTTTCTTTTAGCAAGCTAACGTGGTTCCTATAGACAAAAATAAATATTTCTGTCAATATGCCAAGAGGCATTTTCCATCAACCCTTTTAATCAACTTCCAAAATATGCTCAGCAGAGAGCATCAGATTGGATCCGGTTTCTGCTATATCACACGGAACAAAAGACTCGAGCAGACACACATCTTTCCAAAACACTTCTATTCCACAGCTCTGCCTCCATTTTGGATGACAGACAAAGGGGATAAATGGGAATATAACGCCTTACCGAAGAGATGAAAAGCACAACTGAACTCTGAGCAAAAGGTGCAGATAAACCCAGGAAGTGCTGCTGCCAGCTGCAGCCACCACAGGAACAAAGGAAACAGCGACAGAGCCCGCTTGCTTGACTTACTTACAAAAATAAAATTTGGGGAGAGGAAAAAGGAAAATTGGCCGGGTTTCACATCGAGCGGGGCACTTTGCCCTTTAAGGGTTTCTGCTTAGCACTAGAGGCTTCCACTCGCTCCCAGCCTGGCCGCGGGATGCTGAGGCTTTCCAGCGGCACCAGCTGCCAGCCGGGACGAACGGGACCCCAGCCCTCAGCCCTCAGCCCTCAGGGCGGGGGGGGCAGCGACAGCCGCTCACCCCAACCACGGGCCTCGGGCCTGCGGGGAAGCGCCCGCCGGGGTCCCCAAGTTCNCGCCCCGCTCCGCCCCGCGCCGGCCCCCGCCGCGCTTAAAGGCGACGGAGCGGCCCCGCCACAGCCCTGCCCCCGCGGGGATGGGGACAACGGGCGACACACACCCCCAGGTTCCGCCAGGATCACTGGAAAAAGAAAGGGGAAGGCGCTGCTGCCCTGTGCTAAGAATGTCCCCACTCCTGAGGATGGCTGGTTTAAGTGATCCAGCGGGGCTTCCATCCAGCAGGACAATTTTTATTGTTTTTAAACCAAACTAAAGCACGAAATGTTCTGCCTCAACACGAGGAACAACTCCTTTACGTTGAGGGTGGCAGAGCGCTGGCACTGCCCAGAGAGGCCGTGGATTCTCCCTCTGTGGAGACAAACACACCTGGATGCGTTCCTGTGTCACCTGCTCCAGGTGACCCTGCCTGGGCACGGGGCTTGGACCCAGGGGATCTCCAGAGGTCCCTTCCAGCTCTAACGATTATGGAAAACATTCCCAAACATAAGGGAGCTGTGAGAAACACGAGATGTAGAGGACAGCCCAGAAATGGCTGAAGAATGTTGAGAGAGCATTTGCGCTAGCAATAATTTAATTGTCGTTAATACACTAAATTGCTTATTATTTTCCAGAAGCAGTCTGCAAGAAGCCAGGGCAGCCAGAGAAGCTGGAGACCTGCACAGTCACAGAAAGGTCAGGACAGCCTGCTGCCAGGCTGGTGGCTCACACCTAACCCAGTACCTGGCTCAGTAGCACATAAAAAGGAAAGTGAAGGAACCACAGTTGTTCCAAGGAAAGTGAAGGTCAGATTTAATCCTTCTCAAAAGCATAAAGGAAGCAACAGATCCTGTAAGTTAACATAAAAATGTGGCAACAGGGCTGGTATGGGGAGAGAGCACCATCCTACAGCACAAAACCCCATACACATATGTATGTATACACAAAGTCGAGAGAAAAGATCTCAAATTTGCCCTGCAGTGCAAACCTCCATGACCAGGAGAGCAGTTGGATCCTAGGACACACATTCCAAAGCATTTATACTAAATTGCATATATTATTTCAGTTTTAGGACCTCACACTTAAAATGAAAAAGCGGGCTCTTCTACATAGCCACCCTCAGGAGGGAAAAAGCTTCCAAACATTAAATAGCCAAATGCTACTTTTTCTGGTGTGTAAAACCAGAAATAAGATCAAGGGAGACTTAAAAAATTGAGAGCAAGTCTTGGGCAAGGAGAGAAGAGGCATCCCTGCAATATCCCAATTACGCCCATGCAATGATTTGACATTCCCCATTAGCAAGGAATCAAGGCTGATCCCTGTGTTTAGGGGAGGAGTGGTAGGTCAAACACTTCTCCACACATGAAAGCAACAGTAAGGAATGATCACATCATGTGAGAGCTGTCTCAGATCTTTAAAAACCAAAACTAGCATTCAGCTCTTAGTCAGCATCATAAATAATATTTTAAGTAAGGAAAAAAATTAAAACATTTCAAAACAACATTCACAATTTAACAATACCTATTAAAAGTCTTCCATGTAGTTTGTTAAGAACTAAACCTGAGCTAAAAAAGTCACATCAGTAGCAGCACTGTATAAAGTATTTCCATGGCAACAGCATGGACTGACCTCACTAAATTCAAAGCATGCCAGTGTTTCCTCCTGCAGGAAAAGATGGGTAACCTGTTAAAATAAAATCATTAGGTAGCAGTGCAATTTTCTAGGAAGAGTCAGGAGTACTCCATAACTTAAAGAAAGGGCAGCAGCTTTAAGCTACAACACAAGTTCAGGGTGTTTCTCCTCTGACAGATGAAAGGAAAGGGGCATCCCTTAAAATAAATCCACTTATTTTGGAGACAGACCTCTTGGTTTGCTCTTTAAGATGAGCATTTAGGTGATCAGTAACAGTTCAAGACTGCCAGTGATCCTCTCCTGCTCCACAGCAAGGAGGCACAGGGAAACACCTAGAGGCCACAGCATCTTTTGAGTGTGTCTTTTCTTCATGTTTTTCATCAATCCACAGTGCAAGGTGAAACACAGGCCACCAGCTTCTGATGATCCTTCAAGGAACATCAATTCCCTAAAATTGGCTTTTAGCACAGGAAGAATTTGACTGTAATACACACTGTGAACAAAGCCATCCAAGCTGTTTAATGCCCACAGTGTATTCCACACCACTTAGTGGTGAGATTATCCTCCCAAATCTACAGACAGGAAGATAAGCATTTCCACACTGATGAGGGAAAGAACTCAGGGAATCACTCACAGCCTGGGCCAGGGCTGAGCGCAGGAGTCCAGCCCAGCGTGCCCCACTCTGCCGGGGCTCTGTGCCCATCCTGCTCCCAGGAAACCACAGGGAAAACCTCCAGCCATGCCCTGCTCCAGGCTGCTACTGCTCACTCCCTGGCACAAGCCTTACCTGTTCAGAGGCCTTTCTTTCTGGGACCCATCTTGAGTTACAACCTTGCTTCTACTTGTCCTTTCCTCTCTCTCCAGTTCCACCCCGTATGGAATTCCTTGATACGCGTCTCCTGGTCTAATTCACTAATCTGGAGAAGGAAAAAAAACAAACTAAAACATAGTTTCCTTTCCAGGATAGTGAGTTTAAGGGGCTGGTGAGAATGTCAGGAGCACCCCAGTAAATGTGAGGGAGGCAACAGAGCCAAGGTGGGAGCAGGCTGAGGCTCGCCCCGCTGGGAGCCAGAGCCAGCAGAGCTGTTCCAGCCTGTGGAACTGCAGGCCACCTTGGGACAGAGCACACAGAACACTAAAAATAAGCTGGACACTTTATATCTGTCTTGAATGTAAACAATCTTTCCAAAACTCTTCAAGAGTTTTACTCTTGCAAGCGTCAAACTCGTGCTCCTTTCCAAACTGAAGCACGTTTCTGCACTCTGCCTTCCCCACCCCTCCAATTTAAGTTACCACAACACATGAACCGAGCACCAAACGAGGAATTTGGTAAATGAATTATCTTAAATTACCAAATTATTCTGCAGATTGCTTTAATTATATTGGCCATATCTGTTTGTTGTTCTTACAACCACCACCTGCCCCTGCCCCACCACACAATTATCAAGACACCTTTGGACTGCTCAAAGGTGGATCATTTTACACGTTACCAAACGAGACAACACCAGAGAATGCACATTTAAAAACACCGTTTATAAAAAGAGAAATTTATTGCAAATTTAAAAAAAAAACAAACAAAAAAAAAACCCAAACCAAACTGATATTAAGTTTCTTGATAAAAATTATTCACACAGCATTCATGTTGTGATTTTTGATTTTATTTTGAAATGAAACCATTGTACATTGTACAAACCATAACTACCGATGGAATAAATAAGTGAAAAATTATACTGCTGTACAACACACACACACACAAATCATAAGATGGAAAACGATTAGGTATTGAAGAAAACAAAATTCTTTACACCTTCTAACAGGCCCTTAGATATAAAGAACATTCCAAAACATGACAATGTTTATGTATGAAGATAGCCACCCAAAACCGATATTTTATACTGCCTTGTTGATTATTTTTTTGTTGTTGTTTTGTAAGTGCCAGCACTTTTTGGAATGTTTAACAACTACTTTCCCAAGCATAAAAATTCCAAGGAATAGTTCTGCTATAAAATGTTTGGCTGAGTAAATCGATTATCCGGAAGGCCTTCCCACGTGTTCCACAAACTCAGCTAAATTACTTGCTTGCTTCTAGTTTCTTTTTTTTTTTTTTTTAATATTTTTTTTTTAATTTTTTTTTATTTATTTATTTGTAACTGAAGCTCCAACATTCAGCATTGTAGCAAGGAAGCACTTCTTGATATTTGCACTATTTCTAAAACATCAGCTGTATGAGAACTTTCAGTCATCTTGAAAAAAATTACATCTCTCCTCCTGCTCCACCTCTCAATGCTTTCAATAAACCCTTTTACAGTGAGTTCATAAAACAAGTTTTGGGTAGAGATAGGTCCAAGCCAAAGAAAGCTGGATTTATATCTGGTTTCAAACCTCAGGTGGATTTGAATTCCATGTTCTGGTTTGGTCCCATCTGTACTTTCTGGCATTAAAATGTGTTCAATCACATCCGTTGGCCCATAAATGTTATCAGGCACTTCAAAGAAAGACTAATAACAGTCTTATACACTATTTTGGATTTCTTCATACCAGATAATGTCAAAGTCTCTTCCATCAGAGACTGACAATAACAGGTCTAAGGAACCCAAATCTATCTGCTTGTTCAGTTGTCTGTTGTCACTAGAATCTCTGGTTAAAATAAAAGATCTGAATGCATTCTGTAGAAGCTGTAAATAAAGGATTTCTACCTCAGAAATAAAGCCTCTAGGAAGATGGTTATGATGCCTTGTCTCATTAGCCACAGAACAATGAACAGTTCTGAGCAGAAGCCACAGGAGAGAAAAGGAAGTTTATAATTAAACCTGTTGATGTCAATAATGCCAATAAATGCTTCTATCTAATGAAAAATTTGAGGTATTTTTAGTGCTATTTATATATTTTATTTCTTCCTAAAGTACAGGAATTAGTTCCTAAATGAAAAGTCTATTTACTCCCTTGGAAACATCTACAAAATGAAAATTAAAAACTTGCTGCGATGCACCTGAAGAGAGGGATTAGTAAACATGACTACTTGTCAAAGGTGGCATCAATTTGTTTTGTTTTAGCATTAAGAATAACGAAAAGTTAATAAATCAAAAATATTTAGAAGTTTGAATCTTTCTAGATTTGCCCATTTAATATATCAATAGAACTTCTCACAAAATATCACTTAAATCTGAATGTAATATACATACAAATCAATTGTCATGGACCAGTTATCCACATTTTAGGCATACACACAATTCAAGAGAGAATTCTACCGTTTCATTGCATATATTGTGCAAATTCACTTTTTGGCTCCTCATTTCCTTATTTTCAGAATGTTAATGGACTTCATGATCAGACCAGAAATCCCAAAATCTTATTAGGGAGCACGCTGTTTTCATGAATGATTTGCAATCAAATTTTATTCAGTTAAAATCCAAAATGTTTTATTTCAACATAAAGGAAAAGTTGAGTGTCATAGGTTTATTTGAGGTTCAATCCTACAAACATCTTATGGAAGGTCAGTATTGGCTCCCCACTCCTCCCTCCCCTTTTCCCTCCCCCCAGTTCCTCATTATTTTTCCTAATAAAGTGGTAATTGCAAACGTAATGCAGTAGTCTAAGTGCAAGCCATTTTCACTATTGGAGAATTCAGACCTAAATAATCTTCAAGAAGACCTAATTCATGAAAAAACATTATCAACTGGAAGCAATTTTTTTTTTTTTTCATCTAAAAAAGTATTTACAGTTTTTCAGCTTACAAACTACACGCAACCATTTCCAGAGCTGTGAGATCGTATTTCAAATCCCAAGTTCCATCTCCCACACCAGGAGAAGACAGAGCAAGGCCCCGATCCAGCAGCACGGATGGACACATGGATGGGTGTGTGTGTGTGTGTGTGTGAAGTACAAAGCCTCACTGGAAGACCAGACCCTCGTGACCTGATGCAGATGGGTTCCACACTTCTGCTCGCCAGGAATTTGAGGGGAGCTGCACCTACCTTGTGCCTTTCCGTTAGTTTTGTTAGCATAAGCACACTTCAACGTTAATTGGAAGAGAAGGAACATTCCTAGCTGGAGTTAGGAACTGGACTATGGAAACAACAAGGCTTATTTACAAGACTTGCTGAAAGAGAGTAAGGAACCCCCTCCCCAGTACAGTATTTTCCTGGAACATAGAAGTAAACATCTCATAATGAAACAGTACAATGAAATCCAGTTCAGTGAAAACATGATATCAAAAAAGACCAATTGAAAATAAACTCACTGTGCATCAATCCCTTTGATCCTATTTATGTACATAGTGGAACTTTTCTGTAAAGCAAGTTGTACCCAGTACAGAGATCTGGACCTAATACGTAAGTATTTTAAGTGCCTGTGTTATAATATCTATTCAGATCTGGACTATAAATGGTAAACAGATCATGTTAACTTCTGATGAAGTTAAGTATTTAGAAGACCAAATTTACAGTTGCGAATGCCATGCATTCAATAAAAGATCTCCACTATAGCTGCTAAAATAAAGTATCAAGCTCCTTTTTCTCCTTGGACTCCAAGAGTGAAAATGGCTTCCTGATTTGTAGTTGTTTAAAAATTTAAGCACCAGGGATTTAAAACTTAAAAATGAAACAAAAACCCCAACCAAAAAAAAAGGAAAAAAAAAAAAAAAAAAGCCTTACTACATGGCATTATGCAAACATAGGCCACTTTGCAAAGGAGACAGTTGCAAAACAACTTTTAAAAGTTAGCACTGTTTTCAGAACACAAGGCACAAAACAAAAGCAGACATCACGCCAGAACAATGAACTTCACATGAAAGCTAATACCTGACCTGTACCATCCTTAAATATCTTACAATGTTAAATAGAGAAATGAAAAAAAAAAAAAAATACAGCAGCAACATAATTGTAATTTTGACTTTAGAAACAGTGCGTAGACCCCTCCTGAGTTGTTTACTCCAACCATTTCAGAGACAGTAACTTAAAAGTTCTCAATGTTTGTTTCACAGGAAAAAGTTTTCAGTGTCTGAGAAGTTAAACCTTTGTTAGGCTTTCTTGGATTTTTGCTTGGTAACTTGAAAAGTTAGGAGTTCTGTCCTCATCCAAGAGAAGATGCTTAAGTAAGGTTGTTCTATAATTAAGCCCACTGATGTACCTTACATAAAAACTGACCAGAAAAATCTATAGTCTAAATCTCTTCAACATTTTGTTGGGAAGCCTCTACTTTCATCTTTTTAGAAGGTGGCACTCCTTCAGAGTCCTTAATGAGGGGGAAAAGAAAAACAGCCACGTTATCATTGCACTGAAGTTCAGGCACCATAAACATCAAACAAACAGCACCAATAAATTCCCCAGCGTGTGACGTGTCCCAGACTAAGCATCCCTGGATGCCAAACATGTCCCAGTGCTGCCTGAAATCTGCTTACATCTTACCTCAACATCTTTGCACTTCTTGTCATCTACAAAGGGCAAAATTCTAGTTCCAGGCTAAAACCCACAGTGAATATTCCAGGGAACAGCCTCGATGGAGGGTGCACTGGAACTGAGGACCCACAGGAAAACCAGGAGGAGCAAGGCTCTGCCTGAGGATCTGGACTTGTCCTGCCCTGAGAAGGGCACAACTGCAAGGATAATTTCTTCCTCCCACCCACCCAGAATCTTTCAGTGTTTCACTGAGTAAACACCCAAACATCCACAAATGAACTCTCCTAACTGCCACAAATGTTTACCTTTATAGAAGGTGTTTTACTTCTGAATGGTCCTCAAAGGGTCCAGTAGGTTTGTTCCAAGCAATTTATTAATGTAAAATGTTAATATTCACTTAAAAACATAGTCTGGTTTAAGAAACCAAGAAATCCATCAGACCAATCTGGTTTTACTGTTCCAGTTCTGTGAGATTCACCTGGACCACAAATTTAATACTCTACAGCTGCTTTACTGTCCTCACTTTGGAAGTTAGTGGAAATACACAACTGTCCTCCTTATATTTGCTTTTAAGTAAAAATAAACTTTTCCAAGATCCATGCAATCAGACTATTGCACTTAAAGTTACCTGAGAGTTTTTAGATGCCTCTGTAATTAAATCATTTTCTCCAGAGGACTGAATTTCTGCTTTCTCTGAACTATTCATGGAATTTTCCATTGAAGACTGTGAATTCTGTTCATCAGAGGTATCTGAAATGGATAGAAATAATTTTAAACAACAAATGAAAGCTTTCAGCAGGAGCTTTCCAGGATGTCTTCCCATCAGCAACATCCCCAGCACATCAATTTCATCCACATTGTAACCATTACTGCAAACACCCATAACAAGTGTATTTAATATGATCAATTAAGATCAAACTCCAGGATAACAACCTAGCTGCTGCCTGAGCTTTTCCTTCCTGCTGCTGGAGCACAGACCCTGGGATCAGACCCTAGAGGGAGCCAAGCTCCTGCACAGCCTCAAACAGGATATCCGAGCCCTCAGCAAAATTCCTTCAAACCAGAAGCAAAAAAAAATTGTTACAATTAATGGATCTAAAAACCTGTGGCTAAGCAGAGAGAATAAAGTTATCTGAATCAAAATTCAGCCATATATTTAAAATCCCTTTTTTTGCTTGCTACTACATTTGAGATAGAACTTAGAAATTCAGCTAACTAGCTTATAACCACCAAATTTTTAATTCTGGTGGAAAGGTATGAAGAACTCCTCCAGCCTATTATAACTGTTACTTCCAGCTTTCACTGGGTTTTGGGGTTTTTTTTGTTGGTTTAAACCCTTCTCTCTCTCTCAAAGTAAAACTTAAAGAAGACTCAAGGTTAAAGCACTACTACTACTGTCTACTTAAACAGGGGACAGGGGTATGTAAAATGTATTCCTAGATCCTTGACCCAAAGATTATATGAATTTATTCCATATCAAGAGAAATGCAAGACTGAACAAAATTGTTGGAGAGCTTTGGTTAATGAAGATGCCATAACCAGTGAATTATGAATATTTTTGTGGTGTACTGTATAAAAAGCATCACAAGCATTTCTGAACACAAGACAAAGTAATGCTCATCATGAGCACATGCTCATCAAAGATCACAATCAGCAAACTCAGACAGAATCCTCTTCCTGTCCATGTCTCACCAGAAAAGCATCTTCATGCCGATAAAGAAACAAGTCCCAAGGGTCCAAAGAAACCTGGGTTTTTATTTTTGCTGTCTGTCTCAGCCCCCACTGAGCTGAGGAGCACTCAGATGTGTGCCCACCTCTCCGTGACAAAGCCAGCCCCAGCTCATCATCACTGTTCTCTTCCAGCTGCTCCTGATGAAACACAGCCTGTTCCTGACCTTTGGGCAAGGGGATCCATACCTTAAACCACCAAGCCTCAAGCTATTCCAATGCCTGCAGGACTTGTTCACACAGCTTTGAATCCACCTGTTTTATTTAAGAATTCCTCATTAAGTATTTCTGACCACCACAAAGTGGTTTACAGGAACCTCCCTGATTTCAGTGGAGTAACATGAGATAGACATGCAAGGTCATTAACCCTGTCCAGCTGAATAATGTCCCAATTGCAGCGCTCTGACTGATCACAAGGTAGATAAATGTTTAATAAATGGTTTAATACAGCATTTAACCAACTGAAAAAACCCCACATTAATAACAGGTATTTTTTGCTATTTATCTCCCTTTCATTTTACAGTAACTGGCTCTGGAACTAATCCAGAGGACTTGGTATGATTTTCCCTGAACCTAAATTTAACCAGGGGAACATGCATGCTATGTAACAGCTTCACATAAACAGGTTCAGACAATATCAGACCAAGAAGTAAATCTTTACTGTTTACTGTGGCCAAATATGCAAAAGGAGATACTTTTTGAAGGAAATGGTGCTCTAATTTATTCCAATTTGTTGATGGTTCTGTTGTCAAATTTTAACCCCAGTTAACAATGACAACACTTAACATATTTAAGCACTCTGGTGTTCCCAAGATAAAAGTTCTAAATTTAAATTGCTCAGTGGATATACTGAGTGAAGAACTAAATCAGGAGGTCATAATTTAATTGCTTTGGTATGGGAAGAATTCCACAACCAAATCATTAGAATGGTGTTAAGGACATCTTTTATCTGTTATAATAGGATAAAGAAAGTTATCTTTCCAAGAATATTAATACAGAACATGTTTCAATTACCAAAAATATAATTTAAAGAGTAAGGTTCAGAACAATCCCTTAACCCAAATGTATTTTTAATCTGTCCACAACTGCAACAGAATCTTGTAATGCTTTTAGAAAATTAGGACAGAAGTCAGAGCTAACTTAACCCTAGCAGGGTTAAGAGGAAAGAAGACTTGCATTATAGCTTACACAGTTAAAAAAGTCATTTCAAAGTATCTCACCTCTATTTTATTGTCACACTAGGGCATAAACTTCCAGAGGTCTACAATACCTTCCAGGATTTGTGTGATTACATGGTAGCAGCCATTTCAAAGATGATTTTAAATTATTTTTTCTTTCAAGACAGAGATTTGAGAACAATAAACCAGTATTTTGTTTGTTTCTCTCTGAAAAGACCCCTGAATGTCAGTGTGACCTTTCCAGTTGTATAAAAGATCATCAGTAGGTCAGAGAAATTGTGGCCTATTTTCACATAAATGCCAAGAATTCAGAAACCATCTCTTTCAATTTGTTATTTTCTATTTGTTAAAGTGGGTAAGGAAATAAATAACACACTAAAGGACAACTTTTTTTGTTTGGCTTTCAAATGGCCCTCCTAGCTCACCTTCTGAACCAGGCTGCTCCTTTGCCTCTGCCTGAGTTTCGTCAGACTTGACTTCAGTGCCATCTGCTTGTGTTGCCAAGTTCTGCTCTGGTGCTGGACTGGAATTACTGCTGTTTTCCTGTTTTATTGGGGAAGCATCAGCTATTGAACTCTGGTTGCTATTGTCATCTGTGAACAGAAGAGTGAAAACCAACAAAGTCTGATTTGGCAAAATACAAAGCTTATTATTCCCTGATAACACATGATATAATTTAACTCATTAGGGATCCAGTCCAATAATTTAGACTCCACATCCAACTTTTTTACACACCAGCCTAAGGAGTTTTTAAGCTGTTAATAAAAATCTAATTCTAACTAATTCTATACATTAAAACAAAGAGTGTTTTATTCAGATCTGATCCAAAAGAACCCAGAATTTTGTAATATGAGTAAACCAGATCAACCAAATTGGCAGTTTCATGTAACACATGGCTAAGTAAGTTCATGCTGCAGATTTACAAATACCCATCACTCCAATGTTCAGATAAGCAGGTATTTTTGAATCGAGTCCTGAAGGTCAAAAATACCAACCCCAAAACCCTTTCAAGGTGAAATGTAACATCCCAATATCAACAGTTTCTAAGTGATAATTGTACAGAATATTCTCTAGCCCTCAAAGACTTGGATCACAGTAATCTTCTGCAGCACAGATCAGTAGTTAACAGGACATATTCTGCCTGTGCCCTCTCCCTGTGACAGTAGTTTAAGTAGCTCAGCTGTTATTTTAGGGATAGCACTGGGGTGCAACTTCCTTTAAGCCAGACTAACATCCACAGATAACCAAGAGGGAAGTTCCTGCTTCCAAAAGAAAACTAATCCTGCAGAATATTATGAATTAAATTACTAGAATACAAGTCAATCCACCTCCCTCTGTGTCTGTACAAACATTACATCCAAAGGACTTCAGGAACACAGAGCTGCTGCTGGGACCACCTCTCTCCAGAGCAGCCTGAAGTCAGTTCAGATTAAGTTTATCACAGAATTGTACAGTGTGAAATTGTACAGTTAAAAATACAGGTGATAAGTGATAAAAAAGCAAGCAGTACATTCACCTTACGGATGGGAGAATCAAGACTTCAAAAAATTAAATGATCTGACCAAGGCAAAAGCTAAAAAGGTTTGAAACAGATGAAAAACAAATCCATATCTGCAAAACCCTGGCTCCTTCCTTTAACTGCAAGACCACACTTGCTGTCAGCACTGCAAAAAGCAACCATGAGGCAACACAAATGCAAACAAAGCTGAAATTAAAAATTTACAACCCACTAAAAAGTGATCCTCCCTTATCAGCTCAAACAGTGCTGTGTTCTCAGCCATAATTGTTATCCAAACACCCAGAAGGTAAAAACCTGAAGCAGAGCCGAGCTGTGCAAGCTGCTCTGTAATAAACACCAGGCTAACACTCAAAAGTCACATTTAAAAAAAATTAAAGTGAAATAAAATTGACCTCACAGTGCCTGACTGGCAAACAAAAAATGTTTTCTTCAGCAGTTAATTTCATCAAGCTGCAGCAGAAGGAAGGCACCACAGAACCAGAGCTCACTTTCTTGGCTCTTGCAGAATTTTCTTGACCTTAATCAGTAAGAGCTAATAAGTACAAAACCTGCCTAAATTCTAGTAGGTCCCACTGAGGCTTTGGGGGATTTTTGGTTCTTCAAGCAGCAAACTGATGAGGTATTACTCCACCTGAGTGCAGTGCTTTGAATGATAGATATTTCTAATTTTATTTTCATATTTAGCTCCACTAACAATTTTTTTCCCTTACACTCATAGCCCAAATACAAATGGCATTTAAAAAACTCTGAATACATCCACAGAAGAGGAGTCCAAGGTACCAAGTGGGTATCTAATGGTGTTTTTCATTTTGATTCAAGTCCATACATTGGAGCAGTGGAGAATCTGAGGTTGCTGGTTGACAGCAGTGTAAGAGGGGAACTGGGTCTGACCTTCTCCCACTCACCATGCATGTCCATCATCCCTGGGGAGGAGCTGTTCTCTGGAGTGGTCACTTCAGAGCCACATTTTTCATCTTTGCCCTTTTTCTTATTCTTATTTTTCTGAAAAACAAAAGGCACCACACACAAATGAGACTATGGCCATGCAGAGAAATCCACATTGCTGTGTAAAACCCTCCCCGCTCATCACTTCTGTAAGAACAGCTCACAATCTCAAGTGAAACCTCCTCCTTCTCTACAACTAATTTTACTGTTTCCTCAGTAAAACTGATAGATGGATTAAAAAAAAAATCAGATTGACCTAAACCAAAGAGCACAAGCACGACAACCCTGTATGAGCTGTAGGTCCCAACTTGCTCCCAGCCCACAAGGGTGAAAACAAAGGAAGGGACCGTGGCATCCATCACGTGGGGAATCTGTGCCTGCTAAGGGATGCAGCATTTGCAATTAGGAGGTGACGTCATCAGTCTCACAGGAAAAAGAGCCAGCTGCACTGCTTTTGGAGATCCTGCCTGCTGAGGAGACAATTAAAAGCCTGATTCCAGGAAGAATGCTCTCAGCCCACCCTTTTGGACAGAGACTGTCCTCCAACGAGGGAAGGAACTGAAGCACAATCAAATATTAGCTAAGACTGCAGAAGAAATTCAACATGTGATATCTGGAGGGACTTTTCTCTCTATTTTAAACAGATTATTAAGCTTATTTCTAAACTGTATTTTTACTTAGAGAATCCAGATTTTACTCTCTGATTCATGAAACAGAAGTCAGAGCACAAGGACTTCTTTACTTTTGCAAACCAAAAGGTCAGAAGGGTCATGATCTCCCCCAGGTTTGGTTTTGTTGGTTTTTTTTAAGGTAAAAAGGACATTTTTTGCCACAAAAGAAACACTGAAAGTGACTGTGAGCAGTTTAAGCTGACAGGTGTCTTTTAAAAAGGTTTAACCATCAAAGTGGTGAGGTTCCAGAACAGCCTTCCACAATCAGGAGGAGGAAGAGCCAAGCTAACTGTAGTGCAGAGAAACGTCGAAGTGTCTAAGGAGCAAGACATGAGAGGGGAAGTAATTTAATTTCTGTTCACCAAAATCAAAGTCAACTTCCATTTGAAATAGAGGAGGTACCACTCTCTTATTTTAGTGAAAAGCAAATAAACTGCCTGGTCCTTCAGAGTGGATGAAATCAGATATCAAAGGATGTTCACAACAAAATTTAACAGACAAAATTGTCCCTACCTGGTATTTATTGTTAAAATACATGTGCTTGTGTTATTTGTGAGAAGTTCCAGAGCAACAGGACAGAAACCTTGCCAACATCAAGCCTGCAACAACCGCAGCTGTACAACAGCCTCTACTTGGAATAAAAAGAACATGACTGTAGGACACCAGCGTAACTGGTCTTAAACAAGTGTCCCAATTTCAGCAAATCTGGAGCCTCAACCTAGAGATGATAGCTTAGAAAACACAATTAAACTCTGCACATAGAAACCATTATATAAACCCACTCCTTTGTAATAGAGAACCTGACTTTGGGTAGCAGTGACCTTGAAAATTCCTCCAGAAGCTCACTTAGAAATTCTGTTTCCAAGTCCCACAGCACCCATCCTGCAGGCACAGCTGAACAGCAGAAAAAACAACTGCCAGAAGCCCTGAACCTAAATATCCTAAACCCTGCACTCCCTCTCAGATGGATAGCACAATTTCCCTCCACCATGTACTAGAAATAATAAAACCAAGACCAAACATTTGACAGCTAGAAAGAATGGACAGGTTTCCCAATTCCCAAGAGGCAACTTCAGAGAGATGCTGCACTGGAAGAACCCCTGAGGTTTACCACAACTCTGACAGTCCCTGAAATCTGTGGGACAAGCAAAGCACAGAAAGAAACCAACTCAGTTAAAACAATCCTAATTTAAAAAATAGGTCTTACATTTGGAATCTGTGTAAGACAAGGTCATGACACTCTTGACACTTGACAGCCCAAGGAAAGAAAACCACACATAGGATATGTTTTCTATTGTGTCATTAATTTACTGTGTATCAGGGGTTAGTTTTGTCTTTATCACAATATTATAATTTATAAGATGACAGCAACGATCATTTTAAAAACCTATTTGTAAGTCCTATCAACTTTCGATTTTTACACTTATTTTTACACCACACAAACAGTGCACACAACATAAACAAGATGCACAGACAGAACATTTATCAAAAGAAAACACACATGACAACAGAAGCGTGTGTTGCTGTATTATTTGGCTGGACATCTTGGTACAAGCGATCCCAGCACCACAGGATATTCCTACACTCATGTCAGTGTTTTGCAGCTATTTTTGAGCAAAACAGCAGTGATGCACACATAAAATATGCTCTCTGCCCTGTTCCAAATCCACTACTTTCTTTAAATCACCAGGCAGAAAGAGGGGAAAAATAATCCATGTCATAACTTTCCCTCCTTGCCTCCCAGTTAGTTAGAGAAAGGTTTCAAACTCAGTTTCAGCTGCATGTTTAACAATTATCTGAGAACTGATCCCAGTTGACTCCAGGGAGTCTGTCACACACTCACCCATCAACATCACTTGATGTAAAGATCAACATTTCCCTGGAGCTCAAAAGACCCACACCAGTCTTAGCTTAAAGGCTCAGTGAAAATCAAAGAATATTTCTTTTGACTTTGCCTAAATTTTCTTTCCACTGTTGCTAAACAGGAGCATCTACATCTGGAAAAAGCAAGATACTGCAGGATACTTACATCATCCACTTTAGGCTCTGTTACTGGTACCCATTTGTAAATCCTTAGGGATGTGTCGCCAACTGTCACCCACTTCTTCTCCCTACAAAATTACAATGCAGGAGAAGTTAAACTTCAGATTCCAAAGACAGTGATCTACTATTGTAAGTTGTCAAGGATTTAAACAGGCTATTAAGTAGGATGATCTCTATTACATCGTCTTTAGCACTGCATTGTGCAAATTGTTTGCATTTCACAGCTTGCTAGAGCACTGCTAACCTCCAGATTTCTCAGGGCTGTTACTTGACTGGGTGAGTAACTGCAGTAGCAGTAATAAGATCTGGATTAAAGATAAAGTTAAGAAGAACGGCAATTGAAAATGCAGATTTAATGCCTACAATTTTCACTTAAGTTTCTAGACAGCAGAAGAGGGTTTAGACAGACCAGTGTGTTTTGACTGTCATGAAGCTGTTTAATGGGATTAGAAATCTAGATGCATTTTGACCATCTGAGGTTTATTTGGGGGGCAGAAATTTGCTGCTGGCAATTTAATGCTGGCTCCACACCCCTGACAGCCAGCTCTGCAATTCCAGCTGTAGCACCAACAGCCTCACCATAGGTGCCGTGGTGAAAAATCCAGACTCTGGAGAGCCCAGCTCTGGGGAAAGGCTACCAGAGAGGGGAAAGCACAACCTCAGGTTCTGTGTGCAGACCCTGCCAGCCGTGAATGGTGACACTGACAAATGGTGAAGGAAATGTGGCTGCAGGGCGGCTCTGCCTCAGGGGGTCCCAGGGCTGGGATGGAGAGGGATGCTGAGCGCTCGGCTGAGGGATGCATTCCTTGAGCTCTGCACATCAGGGATTAAAAGAAGGTCCACAATGCCAGAGAAATCTCATCACGTTTCTGGGATCAGTTTTCAGGTCACAGATTACCACTGCTGGTTCCTGGGTTTGCAATGCAGCTCTGCAAATGGATCGATTAAAAGTTAACAACAAAGACCGATTCCATTAAATATTCAGGAACATCTGAAATTAATTTGGCATGAGATCTCAGGCTTTTTTTTTTTTTTTTTCCCATAAACACATTTAAATAATAGATTTGGGATCCAGTTATAGATTAAAAAAATAAAAAATGTTCTTTGCAGGATGGGAGAAGCTGGATGTGACTCCAAATATATATATTTATATATATGTGATAGCTCCATTTTTAGAAAGGGCCTCCAGAATCAAAAGCAGCCACACTGTACAAATGTCACAAACATCCTCCTGAGTATTTTAGCTACTAAAGCCAATCTTATATTTTCCCTTTAGAAGAGGCATTTTCCTGTTTAATTAAGAACAAAAGCAAAACTAAACTATATATGACTATTTGATACATTGCGGCTCTGTCTATAATGGTATTTTAATTGATGTCCAAAACTATTTCAAATTAATTTCTTTCCCACGGCTCTTCACGGAGCAGTGTTCCCTCAACGTGTTTAGACACAGCCATTTGGGTACACTAGGTGGCTAAAGTGTGTCAAAATCCAATTTCACTCTAATTTGGAGCTCTACATGCGATAAAAATGAGAGTGGAGATGAGGGCATGTCAATAATGAGAGCATACTTAATTGTGAAGAGATGATCATGATATAATTTGGGGTTTTTTAAGGATACAAGACAAACTAAATTTATTTCTACTTAAGAAAACCTTTGATATTATGGAAATTAAACCAGCTGGGGTTTTGTTTTGGGTGTGGGGGGAGGTGAATAAATGCTTTTTAAAAAAAGCAAGATTTTAGTCTTTTCCTACAGCAAAATATTACTTGGAGATGCTGCACTGGAAAACCAAAAGTTCAAGATACCTGTTAGCATCTCAAAGCAGCCTCACACAGCATCTTCACTGGACAGACTGTAGAACACAGGAGGAAACCTATATTAGTAACTTTTCCCTTCTAGTATTAAAGTTAGCCCTGACATTTTAACTCTTCTGAGCTTCTTATGTACCACTTTAATTTTTTGATAACCCTCAGCTCTAGGGATTTTTTAACTGATTTCAATACACATCAATTCAGACAACAACGGGAATAAGAATATTTTGTGATGGAAGTACACCAACATCCCAGTCCTGCAAACACTTATGGCTAAAAAGAAAACCAACATCACAGTGCTATTATGCAAATATTTCACATGTGTAAGTATTTACAGTATTGACAGTTTAAGACCATGAAAATATTAATAAGAAAAAAAGAAGACAACCTCCTCTAAAACTTAATAAAAGCATTGGCAGCACAAACACAATTTTTTTAACAAAGAAACGCAATGACTTTCAGACATTTAAGATCAACAGGGTAAAATAATTTCAAGGTTTATGACACTTATTGCAATTTAAGCTTAGAATATTATCTGAAATACTTACTGCCTTACCACCTCAAAACGAAACCCAAAATCCAAACAAGGAAAGGAAAACCCCAAACCCACTTCTACTCTGAGCACTCACTTTTTAATCTTTTGTGCACATCCCAACCTACTGATCAGGGACTTTCCTTTTCACTTAGGGAGAACTGACAATTTACTGATTCTGCCCATGGCAGCAAGTTTGGGAAATGGTACACAAATCACAGAAGATCCTCACTGGCCCAATGCTGGAATAGGAATGAGGAATTAATGAACTCTTTTGCTCAGTCTGTTGTGAAACCTTACACAATTTCTTCACCTGTTTTCCTGTCTGCTGCACCCACCCACCCCAAAATCCTGACCAGAATTCCACCCCCATCACTCAGTTTCACATTTGATAAGTGATGACTGAGCAATTTCTGTTATTGCACCATCCCCCCTGTTCTCTGTAGGTTGATCTCTGTGTTGACTGTTGGATTGGAAAAGATGGCTAATGGAACACCATCACCTGACACTGTATCAGGCTAAAAATGTGGCAATTATCAACTTTACCTCTCCATGTCTAGCTGATAAACTCCACAGTTTTACATAAAAAAACCTGTTTTGCCTGTTTTCAAAGCTCTCCTGCTCCTCCATGAATGACTCAGGAGTAAAAACAACAGAAAATGGCAAAACTGAAATATATACAATAATATTTTTTCTTTTGATCTTCCACACTGAGAAGTATCTTCAACATTTTAGTTACAGTAAATTCAGAAACTAATCAGTGCAACAGAAACAAACCCTTACATTTATCTGAAATTGTGTAAAAGCATTTTTAAATTCTGAACTATATCTGCACAGCATTTAAAGGACAGCCAAGGGTACAAAGGGTAACCATTAGTATCAACACTTCTTCAATGCTTATGCCTGAGGCATACTAATACCTCAGAACTTACATCATTATATACTCAATTCCCCATTCTAAATAACCCAAGACTCTCAAATATATTTATACTTTGTTTAATAACACTAAAGCTCCACAGATGAACATCAGATTCCACGTATAAAAGTAATATACGGGTGAGCAAACACAACAGTGTATATTACACTTATACAGAAAGTGTCAAGGCAGCTTCTGCAGCAGCAGCGAGTGCCAGAAACATTTGATGGCAGAGACACAGAAAGCCTTTACTGCCAATACATCACTCAAGAAAAGGCTTTCCCACTTGTCTGGCCTTTTCCCATGACTATCATTCATCACAGTGATCTGCGTTTACACACGGATTTGCTCCCACATACCCCATCTTCTGCTGGTGATCACGAAGTGACGTCATAATGCTGAATTTATCACATCACACTCACTTGCATTGCAACAGAGTTTGGTGAAAATCACAGAATTATGACCTCCCTGTGGGATCAAGCAAAAGAGAAAGGGGACGGGAAAGAATATGCCATTATTATACACAAAAAGTGCTGTCAGATGCACAAAAAATGATTTTTTTGAAGCGTAGGCTTGCTTTTCCGAGCACGCCTACTACTGAGTAGATGTTTGTCTAGTGACTAACGTGAAGGAGCCCCAAACACACGTGGTGTTTATTGACCAGGCTGCAAATACAATAAAATGCCATGTAGAGTGACTGGGCAAGGACATGTGGTCACAGACACCTTCTCTCTGGTGCACATTTAGGGAGACCCCTGTAATGTACACATGGCTTAAAGCAAGCCCTGCCTGGTTCCACGTGGCCACAAACATCTTGCTCACAGCAGAGAGAACCATGGCTTCCACATGCCAAAACTCCACCTTCAGCTCCCACTGAAGTCAGAGGGCATATCCTGGCTCAGAAAGAAATAGTCACAGGCCAGGAAAAAAGAAAGGTATCATAATTCAAGGATGGAAACAGTGTGTTTGGGCCACTACAGAACTTCAGTGCACTACTGCACATACACTTGGTATTTTTACTTCAACTGCCACTACTTGAACTACAGTCTTAGGAGAAAACCCAACACAGACAGGCTAAAGCAGGGAGGTGATCTGGGAGTAGCAAACAGCCTTTTCCCAAAGACACCGTGTTAAGGAGTTCTGTGTCATGACTCCTTTTCAGAAAGCCTATTTGAAGAAGGAGGCATGAGCAGCAAAACCTGCAGAAGCTCAATCTCAGAGCATTACATACCACACAAAAGCATTTTAGCAAGTCTGAATGGAGACACTGAACAGAAAAGCGACAGCAGCACTGCCTAGAAATCCTAACTAGCTACAGCTCACGATCCCAGCCAATGGCACCAGGTAACACAGCCCATGGGGACTTTTCCCCACAACTTTCTCCAGGTACTTTCACCAGTTGTCCAGGTTCATCTCTTCTTCCTAAGGTGTTATCACTACCCACAGATCAGGGCTCTGATGGGTCAGAAAAAGGTCAAAGGACTCCTGAGAAATACTGCAATTCAAAGGCAAGGCAACACAGTGGGATTTCCCAATTCCAGGTGCATTCTCTAAAGCCAGGGTTACCTATTCCCACCAGGTATTCCAGATCTCCATCCTTACGTGTTTGCACAGCTGTCCTAAAGTCCAGCAGTGCTATGTATCCATGCAAATTATTTCAGTGCCTCCCAAGACATCCTACCACTTATGCTTTCCTTCTGCTCATTCCTTGTGTCTCAGTAGATGTCTGTGTTTTCCTTCATTTAATAAATCAGACACTGACAAAAACCAAGAGTATATTCAGTATTTTTCTAATGCTGATTGAAGGCACAATAGTTTTTGCCCCTTTCTTCTTGAAAGCCCACTTGGAATCTACATGTTCCCATCAACCTTTAAAGACAAAAAACCAATCCTGTACCATTTACTGAGATAATATAATCTCAGAGGATTTTTTAAAATAGACTGACAGAAGAATTTTAAGTACTGTTAAAGTAGAACTGTTCTCTTACTGAGGAAATTTAACATTTCTGCCAGGCAAACACAAGGCAACCATGTATTCTGTAAGCCACGTGCTGCATGTTTTCCAAAACAGATGCTCATTCATGAGCGTGGTTTAAACAAAGAAGATAAGGTTACAGTAATCTCAAGATAAAAACGTAACAACTTCACTGTTTACTACTAAGTTCCAGCAATAACCAGAAGTGCCATGCACAAGCGGACTGGAAGACCAGGGACTTGCATCCAAGAGCTGGCTGTCCAAGAATACTGGTTTTCTGAGGAAAAAAGTCTGCCCTGATGGAAACTGCCTTTCATAGACAAGGCAGCACAGAGATTCAGGAACACCAAGCACAGCAAGGTGCTGCACACCTGCACAGGTGGACACTGCCCTGGATAAAGCCACCATCAGCACGGAAGAGTTCACAGCCCGGTCTGTCTCCCTGCCCATCCCTGGCACGCACTGCTCCGAGCACACAAATCTCACAAAACTCTGTTCTAGGAAATGTTGGATGCAAGGTATTTTAATTTTCAGTGGCTGCATTTCCACAGAAGAGCTGTGGATGGCAACAAATTGCTCCTATTATGCAAATGAAACTGCACACTTGGAAATTGCCGATGTGGCTCTTCTGAAGATGCAGGAATTGCTAGTGTGGAAAGTTCAATTTAACAAGCCAAGTCCTCTCAAAACACTGAAACCACAAAACACAGGATCTCTCAAGCTAATTTCCCACTGTATTTGACTGCAGGTGTGGGGGTAACCATGAGATTCTCCATCAAATTATGATTCCTTTAAAAATAAGAAAATTGCTTTATGTAAATACTTGTGAGGTGCATGCACAAAAAGTTGTATCAATACTTCTGGCAATAATCAACAGAAAAACTGCATGACTGTACAAGAACCCGCTAAAGCAAGTTGTCTGTCGTGAAGGTTAAAATGTAGAGAAATCTATTTATACCATAAGATTTCTGTTTTACAGAATGAGCCATAGCAACTGGCATGATGGCACAGAGTCCTTGCCAAGAAAAAAATAAATAAATTAGGTATTTTGTTGAATGGCCAAGCTTCTGTCTCTACTCCTCTCTGAATTCCACAAACCAGGATTCAAAGGGAGCGTGCTGTGCTCATGAATGAAATACCTACAGACAGAACAGTCCCACACGTCCAACCACGCTCTGGCTGCAACAAAAGTCCTGTCACACCGCTGCACATTGTTCTGACCCTCCAAAGCTGGCCCAGCAGTCAGCAAGCTGCACTTAAAAACAACACCCGAGTAAAAGAGAGTTCCTGAAACCACCCGAGCTGCGGAGCTGGGGCTGCTCTGGCTCCCTGCACAAAGGCTGGATTCTTTGAAATCCCCATCCCGTGCCCGGCGTTACTGGACACACATCCCAATTCTTTGTCCGGCTCAAGCCAAAGGGCCCACTCGTGTGCTCAAGGCCATTTAAAACTTAACAATCCATTTCACCCTAATAACGAACACGTTCGATTCTGTATTTTGCTCTTTTTAACGAAAACAAAGCGTTAGCTGAGGAGGACAATAGAAGTGTCCCCTTGATTTCAAAGCTTCAAACCAGCTCAGTGATGCACACTAACAATAACGCAAGGGATTTCCCCGCGGATTCCAATGTTTAAAGAAAGTATTTTAAGATACATGCACAGAGACTGCTGAACAGTCAGACAACTTGCTGGAAGAAAGATTCCCTCTTGAGTCACAGCGGCACTGCTCTTCATGCCATCCCAAATCCTCGGACCGACCATGCAGAGCACGGCGGCGACCGCTTTACTGTATTGTTTAAACACCTCATGTGGGTTCTTCTAACAAAAGCAGGGGAAAAAAGACAAAAGCGGGGAAATGCCAAAACGCGTTGAAGGCCTAACAAAAGGGACTTATTTCACACGGGGTACAAGCCTTAATTTAATGAATTAAGAAAGGTTCCAGGGGCAGTTTCGCGATCTCTCCCGGAGCGTCGGTGGGAGACGATCGCGCTCGGGTTTGCTGCGCTTTTACGCGCAAACCCCGGGAACTTGGGAGGTGAAACCAACACATAATCAGGCAAAGACAAAAAATAAACTCTCGGGAGCTTCACAGGGGTATTCTTAACGTGTTTTCTTTTTGTTCCAGAACACTTCTCCGAGCACTATTTCCACCCAGAAGAGCGGGCGGCGGAACCACCCCGGGCCCGCTCCTCGGGCCCTTTGTAGCGGCCGGCGGCGGGAGGCTCCCGGC